TTGTATGGCTTAATTTTGTATTTGAGCCCACTTTGAGTTGTCAAGAATATTGTTAATTGTAACGGTCTAATCTCAGCCACGTTTTTTTTGGCTTCATAATCATGGCCACATGAAACTACAGAAGTCCTACGTACCACCTACATTAAAGGTGATCTGAGATCATGTATATAATATCCACAGCATATACATACTACGAGTTTGGACATAAGATCTACGATCCATTTTTATAGATTTCCAAGATTGAATAGTAATATGTGAAAGAAGGGTCAATCATGGACATTACTTTGTATTTTGTATTTTTTTCTTTGAATTTTGAATATGTGAGATTTGAACTCAATATCTTATTATTAAAATAAATCTAAAATTACTGTTAGATCACATCTGTAATCACAAATTACAATACTTAATATCAAATATACATTTTTAGAGCACAACAAAACTTCAATTGTGCGTTAAATTATCTTTCATATGAGACTCTTGAGAGAATGACATTACCCCAAAGGATTAAAAAGTAAACAAGAGAGCCATAAAACTTCTTTTTTGCTTAAAGAATCAAACTTGAATATGACTGATAATTTGGTTCGAGTCGTAAGATTACTCATATTATCTGAATATGCAACCCTCAATCTCTATATTAAATTATTATAAATGAACTGATTAATTGAATTAGTTATCTGAAACAATATTTACTTCTAAGGACTAAGAGAAATGATCATTTCAAAAAATGGCAGAATGAAAAGGATCTGTTTTAAACTATGCTTCATTTTGCAAATCTAATGTACAACTTCTAATAAAAAAATTTCTGATGCACATATTGGCGCCACCGCGCGCGCGCGCCTATATTTGCTCTGAAGTGTTGTTTTTATTAGGAGCTTTTGAATCTTGATCCTAGTAAATGAATCATATCATATGATGAGATACAATATATATATATATATATGTGTGTGTGTGTGTGTGGGTGAAGAAAACAGAGAAGATATTATTGATTTCATGGTGCATTAAGATATTGGGTGGAGAATCATGATCTGTGAGTAATTTATTTATTCATTTTTTCACAAGAAAAGAATAAGTTGTTCGGAAAACCAAATGGCTTTCCAAAACAAAATGAAAAACAAAGTATTAGCATAGACAACAATGAGATACCCACTAAGTTTGGTGTGTTTGAGTCTGATTTATTGATTTTGTCAGATTATTAGTTGTCTTGAGTACGTATGTAAGTTTTGTAAGCTTTTGACATATATATATATAAAATAAAGATTGTATATAACGGGTCATTGTATATGGTCCTCTATTCCTATCGATCCGTGGAGAACATAGAATCATGCCTGAACTCTAAAACTTGGTCTCCTAAATATATCAAGCATGATTCTATGATCGATAGGGGTAGAGGACCATATGCAATGACCCGTTATATACAATCTTTATTATATATATATATATAATATAATATAAGTTTCTGATCTTGCCAATTAGCTACCATTTTCTATTGTCAATTGGATTATATAATTAATAAAACTTATTTTGGACATAAAACTAGCAGCTAATTGACCTTTTGAAGTTCAGTTGGCTCTTTCCTTTTTTCGTACTCTCTCTCTCCTTGTTTTTATTTTAAACATATAAATATATATATATATATATATTTATATATATATATATTTTGTGTGTGTGTTTTTTGCCTTTTATTTTGCTGTGTAATAATTCAATTGCAAGACAAAACAAAGGACAAAATATAAAAGCCAAGAAAGAAGATACTGAAAACCCATCAACTTATTAAATATTTATCTTTCTTTTTTATGATACATCAGTGAGAAAAAAAAAAAAAAAAAGCTGATAAACAGCACAAAGGAGGGATGGGACTGAAATGTGGCAAGTGTATTTCATGGATGGCCATGACTGCAATTGGAAGGCTACAATATTCTACCAAAAGTAATAAAAATTGGAAGGCTACAATAATGCGTTGGAACAAAACTATTGCCATCTTAGTTTTGCCCGGGTGGTTAGAACGAGTCACATATTATAGTGGTTTGAGGCAGGGGTGTGCAAACCAACTAAACCGTTTATTTTAGATGAAAATGTAAACTAAATCAATTATAAATTAATTTAGAGATTTTTAAACTAAATCAAATCAATTAAGAGATCTAATTCAACTCAAACCAAACCGATTATAATTGGTTTGGTTTAGTTTTTTTAATTGGTTTGAACTTATAATATTTTAAAACTTCTTTTTAAGTCTCAACCATAATTTGTATTAATACTTTCTGTGCTCTTTTGTGTCTTTCTCTCTTTTTTCTAAAGACAAAATGAAGTCAAAACAATTCAATTATATATATATATTTATATATATGCTTATATAATATTAGTTGTGACTCAATATTGGATATGATATTAAGCTTTTATGTATATACGAACGAAAATAAATATAGGCAAGTCAGAGACACTTATTATTACATATGCTATATTCACGTTAATAAAAATGTAAGATTTTAGAGAGAATCACAATCAGAGCCGAGAGGGGTGGAGAATGAGAGGAGAGGAGACGAGTGGAGAAAGCTTGATGGGACTACGAAGACAATGTTAGTACTGTATATATAAGTTATGGTAAAAACTTCTAGGGTTATAATCATTTAATTTTAAAATAAACAAGTTTTCTAAAAAAAATAAGTTATAGATATATGAAATATATATAATTTTTTAAAAAATTATATAGATAGAATTTGGTTTGCTTTTTTTAAGGGTATAACCACAAACCAAACAATTTAATTGATTTTTAAAAAAATTTAATCAAGTCAACTGATTATTAATTGGTTTTGTTTGGTTTTCTTTTAGTTTAGTTTGGTTTGGTTAGTTTGAATGGTTTGTTGCACATCCTTAATTTGAGGTAGGAGTCTTGTTTTACATACTTAATGTCGTTTGTTCTGTTTTCTACTTCTGTGACGTCGTTTATGTTGCAAGCCTAGTTGCTTTACTTGTGTAGAAGGCATAGGTAGGAGCTTTTCCAAAAGACACTTCAGTAATATTTTGAAGGACAAAGAAAAGAATTCAAGATGGCGTCGGAGCAATAAAACCACATGTATAAGGGGTTTTTCATTCAAATTTTAATAGTCACATTCAATTTGAGGATATTATGCAACACTTTATCAAATTCACCGAGCAATTTATCCAAATTAAAAATTCACAGATAACTTACCAATTCAAGAAAACTCAAGACATTGGTGCAAAACTCTAATTTTTATTATAAGTTCCAAAACTTTAAGTAGGAAATATAACATCGTGTGCTTTATTAGTAATTTAAAGGGCCCGTTTAGGTCGCTGATTCGAGTTTTTAATTCGAGCTGAGATGTGACTTTATATGAGAGCTTTTTACTGTAATAAAAAAGTTAAACGTTACTGTTTCTAAGAATTTTTTATTATAGTAAAATTTAAATTCTAAACTCGAATCGGTGAAATGAACATGACCTTAAATATTTGTTAAAGAGTAATCCCGTTCTTTACATTAAAGCCTCGCTTGTTTATACTTGAACTTTTTGCTCCTTAAAGAGTGAAACAATTTGCTTGTCTGAAGGTCAACGACTAGAATTCGATATGCTGAAATAGCACAAGAAATGAATGTGTTAACAAGACTCAAAAATTCATTTTTAAATTTTTCTTCTTCTAACACTTCTGCAGTCCGTACCATATTATAGAGAACAAAAACCAAAACAAATAAGAGATGTGGGGTAAAGGGGGATTCCTGTCCTAGGGAACACAGAACAATCTCTAACCCATCCCTCGGGGGCGCGAGCTCCTTCACTGTTCCTCCTCAATATTTTTTTTAATAGCTTGAAATAAAAATCGTATATTTTCATTCATTTCACCGATTCAAGTTTTATTAAAATAAAAAATTTTAAGAAATAGTTACATCTAACTCTTTTATTACAGTAAAAAATTCTCACATAAAGTCACATTTCAACTCAAATTAAAAACTCAAATCAGCGAACTAAACAGACCCTAAAATTTTAGATATGCTCCCATGATTGACGACACAGAATTGAACTTTTTCTTCTTTTTTTTTTTTTTTTTTTGTAATGTAATCTCGGGTGGATCCTATAATTATTTGTTTATTTTAGTACACCTCTTCAATCTAACTTGTGTAAACAATAATCGGGTGGTAACTATAAAGAAAATGCACTATATCTTGCCATAGAATTTCCCGTGCCGAAGGTGCCATATTATTGTTTATTTTCTAACATCATGATACATAGAAAAATTAAACAGTAAATGTTCTAATAAAATTTGAGAAAGCTACAGAACAAATTCTCTCAAGAATTGAAAGCGGTCTTTAAGCCAAGATTTGGACATTTTGCATTCGTTACGTTTTATTAAGTTATTTCACTCGTTTAGTTCAATTTAATTTAATTTAAATAGTGAACACAATTTAAACTCATGTTTAGTAAGCACACAATTCAAATTATATTATTCATTTGAACTGAATTAAACTGTCTAACTTAAAGTTTAACTCTCCTCTTAAATTTAACCGTTCAAATTATTTTTAAACAGTAAAAAACACATACTATCTCTACATTTTATACATATCAAGCACAAATTAAAATTTTATTCTCTATTAAAATTAAAAATTTTAACTGTACATCAATTTAAACTACAATTTTAATCATACAATTTAAATTTTTTTATTTAAATAAAAAAATTTAAATTAACAAAATGCGGACCAACAAAGCAAGCGGGGCATAAGTCATCATGGCATTTTGTTTATTCACCAAAACTGAAACCCCCATGGTCAAACAGGGACACACAGTCAAACAAAAGGACGGCTGACAGGATTCTGGATAAAGCAGATCAGTTCAGTGACACTGAATAAACTACTATACCAAAAATAAATAAAATAAACACCAATAATATAAATCCCTTTTTTTTGGCCTTTTTTTCTATATTGAACCAATGAAAATTTGACACCTAACAAAAACTGTATCTCACAAACATAACAAACTTTTTTGTTTTTTCTTCGTTTCTTTTTTTTGTTTTTTGTTTTTTTTAATAATATGTTCCCCCTTTAAAGTTTAATATAATCTACCCTCTGTCTTGGCTGTTAAGAAGTCTAATATTTAACAGCTGGTGACGATTTTCTTCTTCTTCTTCATTCATGCCTTGAAAACATGATATGTATTGCCTTCTTTGCCATCTTTCTCCATTCCACCCCCTTCTCATATTTCATAACTTTTTCACCCTTCCATATTTTTCCACTCCTTTTTGCCATTTGTTGTACCTCTTCTTTTTCTCCCCTTAATTTCTCTTTCGGCAAAACACACCAAAGTCTTTTTTGTGCAACAAAATAACACATTGTTTTTATTTTTTTTTTTTGGTGAGAAGTGAAATTCCCACCAACCCTTCTCTTCTTTTTTTTTTTTTTTTGGGTGTCTCATCGAAGCTCTACTTCAGAAGTTCTGTTTAGCTTCCTTCTTTTGGTGTCTGAATTACTGTGGGAAGAAGAAGAAGAAGTAGAGGAATTTGCACATGACTCAACTGTTGTTTCATTGCTTTTATAGCTCAAGCATGCTGCAGCATCCAACACCCCTATTGGACTTTGGGGCACGGACTGGACCAAACCCACTGACCCATTAATCAATATTGAATCCTCCATCATTTGAATACACCTCATCACTCTCTCCTACACACACAAAAAAAAAATAAAAGCCCATGTCTTGGTTAGTACAGTTGTTGTTGTTGGTAATCAAGGCTAAATGATACTAAGACTAAAAAAGCACAAAAAGAACACCATTTATGTTCACTACTTTTATGGCTCTTGGACCACTAATAATAACTTGTGTGTTTGTCTATATATATATATATATGTATTGTATATATATGTATGTATAGATATACCTTTTCTACATGTTGAATTAGCACAGAGATTGCTTTCTCAATGTCCACTGTTTTAGTTTCTGCAGCAACAGATATTGCCACTGCTGCTGCGACCTCTGAAGGCCTGAATTCCAAGAAGTCAATTCCTGCATTGAATTCCCACACCCACCAAGGGGAACCAACAAAAAAGATTGAAAAAATCAAACTCCTTTTCTCTCAAATCTCTATCATTGCAGAAGGGAAATCATGACAAAACGGAACACATTTTATGTGCCTAAGGGGAAGGGAAGATAGTGACCTTTTACTGTGGCCATGATAAGTTGGATTGATCGTTGGATAGAAGCTCTAAGTGGGATTTTATTATCTTCATTGATCTTGTGGAGGAAATAATCTATGAAGGAGAAAGGTGTAACTGCCTGCATTTTCCATTTTAATGTGCTCAACACAAGAAGTTCCATTCTTTGTATGGTTCTGGCTTCAAACACAAATTTTGAGTCCCCAACCTGTATTGACATAAAACAAAAGTTACTAAACAAAAAGATCAAACAAAGAAGAATTTAAGCAGGTAAATTCAAGTGGGAATTTTATATAGATGGATTTTGGACCTGCAAATCTAGAGAGAGTGGGACTTGAGTCTCCTCCATTTTGGCTGCAAGTGATAAACAGGCCACAGCCAACAATTGCATAGTCCAAGCTTTGCCCTTCTGCAAAAAATAATTAATAAAAAGAATAAGCTTTTATTAGAGAAGGGCTTAAATGCAATAAAAGATACCACAATATGTGTAAAGGATCGGTAGCACGGCATTGTTTGGCTTATTATTCAACTTACTGGTAATTCATAGGCGGCCAGGAAGCGATCCAAGTAGTTTATTGACAAATATGAACAAAGAGGTCCGAAACTGAAATGTGCATTTGCCTGTTGAAACACAAAGGAACAATAACATTTACCATCAAACTTAAGGACAAAAAGAACAAAGGAAAGGAAATTAGCTGACAACCACTAAACATGAATCATGGCCAACGAGAGGGAGAAATAAAAAAAATCAATAATAATGACATAATATCAGGTACAACTTCCCCCACCCCCCCTTTTTTCCCACCCTTGTTTTCCCTTTGATGTTTGGTTCACAACAAATCAATAATAGCATAGACCCCAAAAAAAAAAACCAATTCCAGATTGTGTAATGTGTATAAGCATTAACAACAACACCCCAAAAATGCTTTTAACTAATACCACTAATAAAAACACAATCAATAAAATCCCAAATCCATTTGCACAACACCATATTAAACAAAAAAAAAAAAGAAAAGAAAGAAAAACCCACCTTGGAAATCCAATCAACAGCCTCTTTTCTAGCCCGGAGGTCCAAATCCCCACTCCTCAACCTCTTCAAGTAATCAACAAAACCGGGCAAGTTGTGAAACTCTTTCTCAACCATTGAAGCTAAACACTCATCACTCTGCAATGGCAATACTAGTCCATTTTCATCATCATCATAAACACCATTAAAGCTCCGGCTTTTACGGCCATGGCTTCGATGATTCCTATGACGAGTACACCATGCAGTCTCTCGAGACTCCTCCTCATAATCGTCATCGTCGCCAAAGATGGTGTTGTCTTCTGCGCAGAGGAGGCTTGAGACTGCCGAGTCAAAGCTTGGTGCCATTGCAAAAAACTCGAAATGACAGTGAATATAAATTAAAAGAACAAACTTTTGTTTTTTTAACAATCTCGTTAAGTTGGAAGCTGGAATTTTAATGAACAAGATGAAGCGAAGATGATGAAGAAGAAGAGATCTGTAGCCTGTAAGAATTTGAAGAACACAAGATTAATGAATATAATGATGCGAGAAGACAAAAATATATTGGAGTGTTGAAGAATGTATATTAACGGTGATTGTAGTGTATAGCACAGTTGAGTGGAGAAGAGTGAAGTCCCTCTCTCTCTCTCTCTCAAAGTGGGCTGAAAAGACTGCCGTGGGAGAGGGGCTTATGAAGGAAATGAGAGTGGCCCTCTTTTAGGGTAAAAGTGAGAGAGAGAGAGAGAGAGAGAGAGAGAGAGAGAGAGAGAGAGAGAGAGAGAGAGAGAGAGAGAGAGAGAGAGAGAGACTGATTTGGAATCGGAAGAAAACGAGAGAGTTGGAAATAGTAAATAGTGATGTAAATGTAAATGGAAATAGGGTATGTGCAAGATTTTACTGTAGGAAATTATTTTTTTCCCCTATCTATCAAAGTTTTATTTAAGTGTGTCCAATTTATTTCTATGCGTGGCAGCCTAAAATACAATTTTTAACGGTTAGATCTTTATCAAGTTTTTTGAATTAAACGGTTCTAAATTATATATATTTGATTTCCACCATGTTCTATCAGTCAGGAGGAAAAGAAAAATCCTATCAAACAATTGTCGTCATCATTATTATTATTATTATGTCCATGGTAAAGTATCTGAATTAGGACCAATGTTATGGTTTTTTTTTTAATCGGCCGGAGACGTCTAATAAATATATTGCTACATTAATGTTTTATTTTTGGATACTTGGGTGACAGTACTAATTTTGTACAACCATGTGCTCCTCCTTGTTTTTACCTTTCCAAAATATCACATTCATAGAATCATATTCATATCCATCCTACACGCCTTAAAAAAAAAAAAAAAAAAAAAACTAAAAAAGTTTTTTTTGTGTGTGTGGCAATTATGGCATAAATTTACGAGTATAGCAATTTACTTTTCAGGTTCAACTTGTACCGGGCCACCGGCCCTTCTCAATGTCATTTTTTAACCTGATTTTGATTTTGACATTACTACTTATTTTTACTCAGAAATTAAAGATAAGGATTTTACTATTTATTTATGTTACAATAGAACATTGATTTGGGTCAAAGGTGTAGTGCCAAACATATAGCGAGTTGGTATTTGTTAATTTAAGATTCCTCATACAAAAAGGAGATGTAGACATGACCTCCTCCAAATATCAGAATTTATCTTCTTTTTTTTTCCAATTTTGAAGAGATAAATCAAATAAATCTACGTAGGATAAAGAATCTCCGAAATTTATAGTAATTTTCAAGACCAGAAGGAAAATAATATGAGAAGTAAAAAAAAAAAAATAGACGAGAGTGAAATGACAAGAATGGTATAGTAATAAGGAGGAGAAAAAAGGGACAAAAGTGGAAACAGAAAAGGCCAAAGAGTGACCAATCGGAGAGTGGCCCACCAGGCTGTCACTTTCAAAATCGTCCCATATTGACACGTTTACGTTGGTGGTACGTGATGACGTGGAATATCCATTTCTGTCTGAAATTACGACTGTAGCCACAGTGATTCAATTCACTCGCTATTTTCTTTTCTCTTATTTTTTTTTCCCAGTCTATCTTGGCCTTTTCTCAGTCAAAATAGTACCTCTTTTTGCACTATTTTCCTCAATATACGCTTTCGGTTATTCCAAATAACCTTATTTTAATACGTTCATCACTATTGTATCTCTTTTTCTCCATCTTATCTGTTTTTTATTTATTTTTTATTTATTTTTTATTTTTATAAACCCATTTCATCTGTTTTCAGTCAAAAGAGTTTGTATATGCAAAATTCTAGTTTTATAAGAAAATATACATATTATTTTTGTCACTAAATAGACATTTAATTCATAAATTTAGAATCATAATTCAAAACTATTTTTTTATGTGTTTTTTATGAGAAAAAAATATTGTAAAGAACCATAAATCATGATTTAGAATCAGAGACGAATATAGGAAACAAACATGCCTTATAGTTTGACACTAATTTACATAAAAAAGATACTAGTTTTCTTTTGTAATTAAGGTCCCGTTTAGTTCTTGTATTGAAACTTATGATTTTGATTATACTACAGTATTTTTTATCTCATAAAAAATTTAAATTTTAAATTTTTTTCTCTTATAAAATTTTCACAAATAAATTAAAATTACTGACTTAAACGCGTGAATTAAAAGTACCCTTAAAGACACTAATTCAAATCTCAACTCTTATTTATTGACTGATGTGACATATGAATTGTCATTTTCATATTAGTAGTTGTTTAAAACATTTCATATTAATTAATAATAAAAAATTACATTTACTTATAAAAAATAACAATTCACATACTTGTATACAATAATTAAAATTTGAATTTGGTGGCCCCGACGTTACTTATATAAATCTTATGGTGAATATAAGGGGATCATGAAATTGGTTCAAATTTGTAAGTCAACCTAAACAGCCAGTATTGACTTTATTTCCCAGATATGCCGAAATTGTTATTCGTTTTCTCCAAATGAGTAATTGTTGAGATAAGAATAAACATGCAAAGGCAGCTGCATGGAGAATTGGAGATGTCATTCAACAAAATGGTACAAGTTCTCTAAAGGGGTTGATTACCCTACCATCCTATAACGCATCGCTTGGAAACTAAACATAAATCATATGACTCCACACTTTAGTTAAAGAAAAAAAAAAGAAATTAATAATAACCAAAAAAAAAAAAACAATATAAGCAAATTCATTTCCACAAGCAGATAAAAAAGAAATAATATCATCCTAATTCATATCCGACACAAATTATGCAATGCGTAACAAGAAGCTATTGGGAAGAAATCCTAATATAAGCATCTTTAAAATGCATGTGCCCTAACGTAACATGCATTTCTGATTTGAAATGTGAATATCACCATCATGAAATGCATTTACAATGATAAAAAAAAAGAAAAGAGGGAGGAGGATATATATACACACATGTTGGCTTGGGCATTGCGTCTTTAATGGAAATTTCGAGCCAGACCGAGTAAGATCTAAATGGGTTAGGGTTAGACTAAGCAAGCCCTAAAGCTCACAAAGCTTAAGGCCAGCTTGAAATTTCATAAGATATTTTACAAAAATTCTTAAAAAAAAAGGCATTTGGGCCGGGGTGAGCCGAATAAACTTTTAGGCTCGAAACCTTAGCCCGACTAGATCAATAGTGGCGAGCGCTTGGGCTTCATATGACTCGACTCAAACTTACAGCTCTATGTTGTGTGAATTTGTGCTTGCAAGTGCACAATACGCCTCAAGTAATAAATTGTAAATAAGAGTGTTGATCTCAAGAGGATTGTACTAATTTAGGTCAATTACTTAAATAATTAACTTTAAGAATTATTTGAACGACCAATAAAAAAGAAAATAATTAAAGATAATAAAATAAATAAAGAAACAATAAAAAAATAAAAAAATAATAAAAAATAATGTTCTAAGAAACCGATTTACCAAGCTAAATCTAAATGAGATACATAAATGAACTAATTAAACCTATTCCCTTTGTTGTAGTCGAGTCTCTCTAACCTATTTGTTAATCTCTCTCGAACACTAAAAAATTATCCTAACAAGCGGATTTCCTACTTTTCTGTGAAAACCTCAATTCATCGAAATTCATTAAGAACAAAGAAACTCAAAATAGACTACACAAACATGTAAGTATATCCATATCCTACAAGAACTTATGGCATTTCAATCATGGACTAAATCAATTTTCACTTTTCAGTCTCAAATTAATTCTCAAATCATGCAAAGATTAGTCAATTATTTATAAGCATTAAGCAAGAAATGAAATGCTCAACAAAACAGAAATAAATCGTAATTAATTCAAAATAGGAAAAACCACATAATCATAACTTGACTAAATCAAATCCCTAGAGCAAAACAAATTACTTCATTAATGAAACTAAAATAATTACAAACTCAAGGTTCCATCATCATGAAGACACAAAAATTAATAGAGAAGAAAATAGGATAGAAAAACTCATGTGAAGTTGTCAATTCCAAGCCTTTCTTCTAGCTCCTTCTCCATTCCTTCTTATTGCTTTAAAAACTGATTTCTCCTTGAATTTGTAGGGAAAAAAAATCTAAATTAAAATATATTTTTGGTAATTTTTCTCTCTCTCAAATTAGACATTATTCATTTTACTGATTTAAATTTTTAATTTTAATTTTACTACAATTAAAAACTCTAATAAAAAGTCACTTTTAATTTTTTTTTACTACAATTAAAAACTTTTATATAAAAATCACATATTATTTCAAATTAAAAATTTGAGTTAGCGAACTTAATCAGGTGAGGCTTTAAAAGCCTTATTTTGCTTGGTCTTTTCTTTTCTTGAGCTCTGTGTCGAAGCAAGAGGTTTGATGGAAGCTCCCCGAGCTTGGCGGCTGCTAAGAAGATGTTTGGTTCATGGATTAAAATCATAAGATTAAAATTATTTTCAATTTACGTGTAACTTTTGTGAGAAAAAACACTATAACGAACCATTAACCATGATTTAAATCAAAGTATAAATCTCCTTACCAAATGCACTTAGGAATTTATTTCCCTTCTTGCCTTCACGTCAGCGAACAAGAAAAAGGACCCAGTAGGGCTAGTCAGGACAGCTCCGCAGGATTGGAAGAGTGCTACACAGGGTGACGTGGCGCACAACGGCTTGCGGAAGAGTGGAGGTGCACGAGAGCTAGGTGAGACGCGGGGCGTTGGAACGCACCCTGGGAAGTGGGGCTGCTGACGCATTTTCTTTTTCTTTTTCTTGCATTTTTGACCCCATTTCACTTCCAACTTTGCAATTGAGCCCACCTGACACTAAATTTACACATGAGAAAAATAATTATTTTGGAAAGGAAAACTAAAATAAAAATTACTAAAAGTAAACCCAATAAACTAAAATAAATTCAATTTAAAATCTAAAGTAAAATAAAACTATTAAAATGACATAAAAAAGAAAATTAAATGAAATTAAATAAAACTAAAATGAAAAGTAAATTAACTAAGATTAAAATAAAATAAGATAAAAATCTCAAAAATTAG